GGGAGTCTGGGGATGTGTGTCCATCTGTGTGTCTATGTGTGTGTATATATATATATACATTCTTTCTATAATTATGCACTATATATATATGCATATACATATGTCGAATGTACTGAAGTTATATCGGGAGTCTGGGGATGCTACCTCAATAATGGAAAGTCATAATATGGAAAAGAACATGGAACATGACGTAGAAAGGCGCAACGATTTTCTTAACAACTCGACGGCCCTTTCCGTCTACAATCAATTCAATGCGTGGATGGGGTTTAGGATTCTTGGGCTTAGGATTTTGGATTCTAGAGTTTAGGGTCTAGGATTCTAGGATACTACTGTTGATACTAAAAATCCTGCATGACCTCATTATACTGTAATACCATTATTCCCAGGGTATAAGGCGCTTAGGGTCATGCAGGATTTTTAGTATCCACTGTAGGGTTTGGGGATTATGGGGCTTAGGGTTTAGGGCTTAGGGTTCATGGGTAAACCCGCCTTGGAAAGATTGCGACAAAGCTCGTCGATTCTTAGGAGCAGCCTGCGAACTCTCCGGGATTAATACTAACAATGATAAAAGCAATAACAAGTCATGTGATAGTATTAATAATGATAATACACATAATAATAATAATACTAGTAACAATAGTAAGAGATGTAAGAGTAAGAGAAACAGTAGCAGTAATAGTAGCAGTAGTAGTAACAATAATCAACAAATCATAGTAATAGTACTGCAATAAGGTTTCAATCACGTCCAATGTATAATCCTGTGAATGGGTCCGGAATGGGACCCCATAGCGGTTCCTGTACAACAATGCACTAGCAGAATTGGTAGTTTCCCCAAATAGAGGAACCCCATTATAGACCCCAAAATACTATAATCCTTCTTATATATAGACCCCCCAGAAAAGGTACCCCTAATTTTAGGAAATCCTAGACGCTATATCTCCCTATATATCCCGTTATAAACCCTGTATAACCCCTGTAAGATATGGGAAACCCCCAATTCTGCGTTTCAAGAAAGCCACTTGGCCGGCCGGCCTTGTGTGAGCAAGAGATTCTGCTTCCTCATCCTTTCCAAGCTTTAGGTTTTAGCTTTCCGGAGAAGCCTACACACCAAGCTCTCGTCGTCCCTCATTGGCAGTCCTTCTGCAAGGTTTCAGCGAGGCTGGCAAATTCGTCCTGCATCTCTTGCTGGCCGCCTGTAAGTCATCCAAGTCAGGTTCATAATGCTGTGAGGCTACTCCACTGCTTCTCTCGTATCATACGCCGTGAGGACCCTTTGCCAACAAAATTAAAAGATTCTTTGGAAAAATGCAGTGTTCTTGCCAGCCCAGTCTTAGGGCACTATATTGGGGAGACCCTATTATTTACTATGTATACCCATTGTGGTAATTATTTGAACCTCATGCCGGGGGGGGGGTCACCTCAAATAACCGCAATGTATTCCCAATTTCCATTTCATTTGCCATTTTCTTTTCCATTTGATTCTCCATTATAGTATTAAAAACCCTATAATTCCTGTAGTTTCCATTTTATTTTCCATTATCCCTATATAACCCCAATATAATCCTTAATATAAACCCTATATTGGGTACCAAAGCACGAAGCTGAGGCTCGGTCCTGATTTCTTGACTTGAGCCGCTACGAGCGCGTTCAGGCGCTCAGACAGATGGGTCACCTGACTGCATTCAAGCCAGGGACAGGTTTAGGGTTTAGGGTCAAGGACTTGAGGAAATGGGAGGTTCCAAAACCAGGGTCCCTTTTGGAAGTGGTCTTTGTAAGAGAGATTGCAGCATATTCAGCGATACGTCCAATGCATTGGGAACCCCATTTTCGCAAACTGCCATCTGGGTCTTCGATCCGTTGTTTAGCCAGTCAGTCCTGTCGTTGCCAATTCTTGTCTTGTTCTTGGCGTGTCTTCAATTTCTTCCGGCCCGGGCCCGAACATAAACACAAATCTAACAGTGAGTACGCTATACTGTCTTGGACTCTGCAACCTCATACGCTTTGCTGAGACCGCTGCCTGAGCCTGCACGCGCTGCATGCTATCAGGCGAGGTCTCCTGGCGAAGCTCGCACTGATCCCCTCTTAAGTTCATAGCATTAAGGGCTCATGGCTCGCAGTCTTCTCTCGGGGTAGAAGCAGTAGGGGCGTCGCAGTATGGTGATTTTTGTCGTCGTCGCTGTCGTCGTCGGAATAAAGCAAGGGCCAGAACAAGCAGCAGCAGCAGCAGAAGCGGCAGCAGCAGCGGCAGCAGCGTCATGACTGCACAACTACAACGACAACAGCCAGTCAAGGTTCGCATGATAAGATCACATGCTCAGCAAACGTCTTGCTTCTGTTCCAATGAAGCCCATACCAGATTCATGAGGAATGAGGAGCCCGGTGTTGAGATCATTGCGCTCAGCCTGCTTTGCAGTAGCCCACACTTCTACACACCGGTGTTGACACGCGCACATATCGACGGCAGCATCCGGTATCAAGCGGAACTTTGTGCGCGGTCACCATCTGTGACAAAACCTAACCCCTTTGGTCCTGTAAGACTCGGCGGGGCTTGCCGCACCTTGCTGCGTCTCACGCATTAGGCAGCCCCATCCAAGCAAAGCATAACATCCGCCCACCACAAGCTAAGCTGGCCACTTCCTGCAGAACTTTGAGTCTTCAGCGAAGACATTTCCACAATGCTCGCACACAGCAGCAAGAGCCTCCACGGCTGCTCAAACGCTAGCTTTCTTCCAGCGCTCACAACCCGGAGCCTCCTTTTTGGGCGCCGTTGGCTCCACACGCCCCTGTCACACTGCGCATGACAGCAATCACAGCCCAACGTTCTTTCGCTGCGGGTGAGCATTGTGGAAGCCTTCCCACTGCAGACCCAAAGTTCTGCAGAATGTGCCCAGCTTTTCATGCATTGTGCAGGCATGTCTTGCTTTCCTTGAATGGCGCAGCCTGGTGAATGGAACTTTGCAAAGTGCTGGCAAGCTGATTGCGGTGCCATTCTGACATGAAAATGTTCACGATCCTGAATACTGGAACCAGCCTCACTGATCACCAGAAAAGCCCTCTAGGAGGATCTTGCTTTCATATGACTATGACCTATCGCTATTACTATGACTATTACTACTATTATTACTCCTTTTGGTACTCGTGATTAATACATATATTATTATTACTATTGTTACTATCTTTGTTATTACTACTATTACTATTAGTATTTGCGATTCATACAAGTATCATGCTGGTAGTTCCCCAAAATAGGGGGACCCCAATATAGACCCCAATATACTACTATTCTTATTATGGGTACCCCCAAAAAAGTACCCCTAATTTTGGGAAACTCTAGCCCCTGTAATCCCCTATATATCCCAGTGTCCATTTCATCTTCCATGTTCTTTGCATTTTCAGTATCCCCCGTATTATTACTCTTCGGCCAACCTCGAGTTTCTGGATCTGCAGCTTCAGCTCTTCCACAGACTCGCGGGAAGCGGGAGCTGTGATGAGTGTGGCCTGCAATTGTCCAGGTTAGGGTTTAGGGTTTAGGGTTAGGGTTACGGTTTAGGGTTTAGAGTTTGAAGGTTTAGGGTTTAGGGTCCAGGTCAGGACGAACAAGTGCCCAAACTCAATCTCTGGTCAGCTCCACATTATGATTGTGCGTATGTCGCTTATGGCGTTTTCCGCTAAACAGCTGTGAAGAGATCTGGAGCAGAAAAGTGCGCCCAAATGAGCTAGTGTAAACTCCTACCATCCCCCTTACTGAGCCCCATACTACTCCGTGTACAACACCTTCAAGGTATGTAGACAGTACCTCAAATGAATCTCCTTTTGTCCCCATCAAGTCTGAGCATTGCCATCTGCAATGTTCCGCTACGTCTGCTACCATGAGAAGAACCATCACGAGAAAAACCATCTGAGCCATGGTCTATCGCCTAGTATCCCCTTTGATATCCCCTATAGTAGTCCCCTGCATAATCCCCTATGTTCCCCCTTTGGAGTTTAGATGATGGGTCATCTACTAGAATACACGGCTAATGCTGTTGTTCTGACCTCTTTGGTCTTCTTCCTCGTTCACCGGGGATTTCGGCACCACTTTGTAAACACCGCGCATCATGTGTTGGGGTGCAAGACCCTCATGTTGGTCCGCTTCAGCTGCCCGCCTCTCCGAAGCCGTACCCTACAGCCTCTGCCCGCAACCCTGAGCCCCAATTAAACCCTGAGCCCCAAGCTACAAAGCCTAGGTCTTAAACCCAGAGCCCTAAGCCCTTGACCCGAAACCCCCAGAAAGAGCCTTCAGGCCAGCCACATCCTGCTCCAGTGCATCCAGCGATGTTTTTGTGGCCTCGACACGGAATCCGGGACATCGGTTCAGTGAGGGTTCTCTAGATGAGTCTAGGGTTTAGGGGATTCTTATGCAACCGTATCGTGCGAGTTTCCCAGAAGCGGCAGTGGGCAATTGATTGCTTTATGTATGCGATCCCCTTCGCTTCAGCAATACCTAGCCTGGGACCCAACTATTCCCACGACAAACAAGGTTCCTGCTGTTGACGGAAAAGTCCCGCACTACTCGCAACAGAACTAGGACCCGCTGCAGCTTCTGCATCCAGAAAGATACTGTTGTTATGAGTGGGAAAGCGGGGAATCACATATATAGGCTAAAGAGTCGTCGCAATGGCAAATTCTGAGAGGTGTGTTCCAAACTGAGGCTTGCGCCAAGTGTGATTTCAATTATATGGTACTTTCCCTAAATTAGGGGACCCCAACATCGACCCAAAATGCGATTTTCCAAATTCTGGGAACCACCCAACAGTAAGTATCCATCATTTTGGGAAACCCAGTCTGTCTTCGGGGCGGGTGAAGGATGGATGATCAGGTCCAAAGGGGAGAGCAGGCGGTGTAGGCTGTGTCTTTAGCGCACGCTTGTTCCATCCTCTCTTCGCAGGCTCTGAATGGTCCACAAACATGAGGCGCTCACCTTTCTTTAGGGAAAAGACATCCTACAGCTGGTGCCACTCTCACTTTCCGACGTAACCTGCTTGAAGACCAAAGGATTTTCGAAGCCTTGTGACCTGGCACATACCGAGTTGCAAAGCTACATGAAAATCAAGTCTGCGATGGTCTGAGTTGAGTTGGAATGTCCGAGGGGCCACCAGGTTTTGTGCTTTTGACCGGCTGCCAAAAACCACGATCTCGGCACCTGGCAGCTATGACTCGGTAAAACCCCATGAGACCCGGGCTCCAGCAACTGCAACTTGACCTGCCTGCTGCACGGGCAGCCTTCTCATCTGCAGAGCAGGAGATCACCGCCAGCAGCGGCTGTTTCAGGTCTTCTCTGGCCTCTACCCGTTGGCGAATGGAAGAGAACAGGCCGAAGGCATTCATCGCACCACGCTCCTTCAAGAATTCAGCAACAGCTTGCAAACAGCTTGCATTCCACAACATGTACAATGATGCTCAAATCCGGATGCACGCTCCTTGCGACCGTTTCCCTCCATCATGGAGGACATGATGCAGAGCACGTTCTGTGGAAACGCGTCGTACGCCTGCAGCAAAGCCTGACACGGCTGGCACTGGGCGAATACATTTGCGCATCTTCGACTGCAGCTTTGATTTACTAACAGACCTAAACCCTACAACCTAAATAGTAGTTTCCATTTTCTTTTCCCTTATCTATTACAAGTCTGAACTCCAAAGGTCCAGCTACCTCAGGCTCGGTGAACGTACTCAACGCCAGCCCAGATCCCCGCAGCACATCGGCGCACGCAGCCACATCGGGATCAGAGTCACACCAGAAGACTGAACCATGTAGCTCCTAGGGTTTGTTGGGGTTATATAGGAATAATGGAAAAGAAAATGGAAACCACTATATTATAGTATATTATATGGGGATAATATAGGGGTTATATAGGGTTATATTGGGGTTATATTGGGGTTATATAAGGATAATGGAAAAGAAAATGGAAACCACTGTAATATTGGGGTTATGTTGGGG